CCAAGTCCAACTCGGTTCGAAATCAGATCGTTAATTGCTTATGCATGTGAATTTAGTAAACTTAGCTCGAAGATCATTAATCGCTCGAAAGTTGATTTGAATTTTGTCTTGGATCTAGATCGGATCAAAATAAATGATTCGAGATACGAGCCAAAATTTTGGATCGAATTTTTTTAGAGCCGATTTTGAGTCAACCCCAACTCGACTCGAAATCAGATCATTAACAACCCTAATTATCACCAAAGCTTTGTGGTTTCTATCGTTCTCTTTTGTAAGCCAACATACATGCATGCTCTTTTTTGAGGGAAAGTGTTGAAATATGACACATATTACGGGCATTTTATGTCAGGAAAACATTTATTTTGAGAAAATATTTACCTGTACGCTTATAAATAAGCTTATTTATACATTGAATGACATGTAAAGAAATTTCAATAATTTCTACCTTTTGATAGATGCTTAATAGTTTGATATCTATATCTTTTTTATTGTAGTCTCATCCCTTTTTCAAAATTTTTAGAGCTTTATCTATGTTGCTATTGTATTCTTCACATTTCACCAGCTTGCATGTGTGGATGAGTTCGAAGTGCATCCATTATATGTTCATCTACTTTTATTTTTAAAACAATCATCTTTGCATAATCATATAAATTTGTGCATTATGAGGCATGCTTTTCAAGAATTTTCACCATGAGGGTGAATTTTTCACCATATTGCATTTGCCTCATGGCCTCTTATTTAAGACTTAAGCGCCATAGTACGTGAGGGGCACCTCAAGGCGCCCACCTCAAAATTTAAGAGACATGCACTTCATATTTTGGGTTTAGCTTAATTTTTCAACAACAAATATAAATTAAATATATTAATTAACTCTACTTTTATTTTGGAGAAATTTGGCTTTTTTATGTTTTGTGATGGTTAACATTGCGGTGTTGAAATTCACAATAATGCAGAATATTTTTATTGATATAAAAAAGAGATTATAGATAACCCTTACATGAATCCTGACATCAGAAAGACAATGAAATGAAAATAACAGGAAAAGAAAGATATAATACTTAATATATCCAATTAATCAATTCATATTAATTATTTAAAGATAATGAAACAACATAAAATAGAAAAACCTAAAATAGGAAAGAAAATAAATTCAATCCAAGAAAATAATTTTAAAATAGACAAGGAAATTAAATTATATTATAAAATAAATCTAATTCTCCTAATTTCTAATAGAAATAAATTATTTCCTTATATAACTTCTAACACTCCTCTTCAAGTTGAAACATGGTTGAAAATCATGCTCAACTTAGATTTGCAAACATAAAAAAAACCAGCGAGGAAGATCCCGTGAACTAGAACTTGAAGTCTTCATCTCGTACTGCGATTTTCTTTTACTGCAGTTTCTGCAGTGTCTGTAGGTAAGTGAAAGATTTCTACAGGTAATGATGCATGGGGGTTTGAAGGGAAGTGGACTGATGCAGTTGTTTTTGACTATAGTTCTTACAGTGTATGTAGGTAGGCAAAAAGCTTCTAAAGGGGAGTTTGCAGGGAAGTAGACAACCTGCATGAAAATCGACTTTTAATTGACTGTGGTTGTCTTTGAATGTAGTTTTTGCAGTGTCTGTAGGTAGGCAGAAGACTCCTACGGGTAATGCTGCAGGAGAATTTGCAGGAAAATACAACTTATAGGAAAAATTGACTTCTAGTTGATTGCGGTTGTCATTTGCTGTAGTTCTTGCAGTGTTTGTAGGTAGGCAAAAGGCTTCTACATGTAATATTGCAGGGGAGTTTGCAAGGAAGTAGACAACCAACAGAAAAAGTTGTAGGGTATGACTTATAGAAAAAGAAAAGTAAAAGCTCCGGAGGAGGGTCTGGTGCAGGGAAAAGCTCCGAATGAAGGTCTGGTGCAGAGAAAAGAAAAGCTCCGAATGAAGGTCTG